GTCTCATAAAATCCAGGGGAAAGAATTGTTTCAAGCAGCCATCTAGAAAGATATCTTTAAAAAATTCAAAAGGGATTTGATAAGAGGGTAAGCATCTTGTTAATAGACACTGAGGGTAAAAAGTGTCTTCAAAATGGAAAATTACATAACAAAAATAGACTTGTGCACCTGAATACTGAGTAATGATATTTCTGGAGTGATGGGAAGGGAGGTATTTTGTATGAAGACCTTAAGAGAGGAGGTTCGGAAGCTGGACTCCTTGAGTTTGGGTGCCTCTTCCTCCACTCTGTGCTTTGTAGCTTGCAAGTTACTTAATTCTCTGCATACCTCAGATTTATTAGCTGTTCACTGGGTTATTTGTACTCCTGTCTCTGGGGGCTGCCTAACATATTGGACAAACAGTACGTTGGGAAATAATGATCTTGGTTTGTTGCTTATGTAGAAATATTTTCATGAATGGAGAGCTGATTGGTGAGCCAGAATCTAATCACAGCTATGCCATTATCTGTGTCTTTGTGCACAAATTGCATCCTTCTCCCTTTCCTTATAAATTAAAAAATGTAGACCATATGCTTTCTAAATCTTTTCCAAGTAAAATTCTTTCACTTTATGAGTATTTTCACCAGCGAATAACAATTTTAAAAATGGGTCCATCTGAAATTTTTCTAACTAGAATGTCCTCTTCCATCGTTTTGTAGAATAAATGTGAAAAGTGGAACCTGGAATGAGTTCTGTGCTAAAATGCTAACCCATTAGGACTAATCTGGGAAACACACTATCAGTGCATTTCACCTCCTAAAATGTGTGCAGTTGTGGTTTTTGGTGACTCACCAAGATATGTAGCCACTGCGAAGAGGACTCATGTGCAAAGAGGGAATGGAATGGACTGGAGGGCAAGCAGGGCAGAGGGAGTACTGGAGAGATGTACCAAGTGAAAACAGGAACACTTAAAAGTGAGTGGAAAAAAATCTCTGGAGGCTGGAGAAAATGGTTGAGAGGAAAAACACAAGAAATTAAGTTTATCTCAGAGATTTATTCCAAAAAATCACACTCCAGAGGAGATACATGATGTGTTTTCAATCCATACTTATGATGCAGTGGTGATTATTACTCAAATGGGAGATTTTAATATAGTCAGCAATCAAAGTTAAGTGATATTTTTCTGTTCCCAGGAACATATTCTGTTCTGATAAAAGGAATTTTAGCAGATATGATCCCTGACATTAACTTTAAAAAAGTTATGAAACTTTAAATTTTCAGGGCATTCTTACTGATATTATACCATCTAAATAAAACATATACAAGTTTGAGTAATTAGCTATTTCAGTTCTGTTTTACTGTGATCAAAATTACAGAGGCCCCTTCTCACCAGCATCAGGGCTTTGGGCTAACTCTCTCCCCGCAGCCACTAAGCAGCTTTTTCACCTCTGGAGTCCCCTCCCAAATCTTGGACCAAAAGAAAATAAAGCCTTTTGCAGAAAATAAAAATTACAGAGGTCCAAGGCTGACAGTAGTGTCATTGCCCTTGCTCCTGTGATTCTTGTTTAGTTTTGCTAACCACCTAACAAATTATTTAAAATTATGAGAATTATGCAACATTCCAAATCACCGTCAAAAGTAAACAAAATCAGTTTCATTAGTAATTATCTAGCATAATGATTGTCTCCAGGAGGTTATGTGTATTCAGCTAATTAAAGGAGAAAAATAAAGGAAATGTTTTTATTTTAAAATATATTTAGATAACTAGATCTAACTAGATAACTAGATGCTAAGAATATAGCTGAAATCTCTTCTGATTTGCTTGTGTTACCATTACTTTTTATACCAACATGAATTTCAGATATACATTAATTAATAGATTCTTACTAAACTGGGAAAATATAAATTTATTAAAATATATTTTTATTCCCTACAAAATTAGGTATATGTTTTTGAAAAATATATCAAATATATTTATTTCTTTTCCTGTTTTTTTACTTAGTAATTTTAATGTTATCTAAATAAATACCTTTGTGTTCATGAAAAATCTAAATGTATGTGGTTACTTGAGGTTAAAAAAAAAATCACTTTGAAGGAAGATGATAGATTAGTTTAAAAAAAAAAACTCAGCACTGGGAAGTGCTGAATTATCTTTAAGCTAATCAATAATAAATTCTTTTTACAATAACATTCATAAAAACATTTAAATTTAAAATGTGTGGGAATATAATCTTTAACAAAATACTTATTTTAAATTATGTCTTATCATGATTTCATTTAGTATAATGCTGTGAGATGTGAAAAGATAAATAGTATTTGGAAATATATATATATAAATATATAAAGTAATACAGTTATACGTTTTAAAAATTTTAGATTTTAAATTGGAGCAAAAAAGTAGTATCATTATTTTAGTTACCATTAGAGAGGAGTACACGAGTCAACCAAAATTGTAAAATACATTTAGTTTTCAAGCCTAAGAACATTAAGTCATCCATAACTTGTAGATGAACCAATATGGCAAAAAGAAATCAAGACTTTAAAAAATTGTCACAAGAATCGAGGCATAAAGATATTTCCTTTGAGCAGTAGCTACAGTTCCCACTGAATTTTCTTTCCCTTGGAAGACTGAAAGAAAAGAGAAGCCAGAAAGATCCAGCTCACATGCTAATGCATGAGCTAATATTCTAGATTTATTTCTCTGTGAAATGTGCAAAAAAATCTATTTCTAGATGGCGTAACTGATTGTTTTGTTTCCAAAGTATTAATGATAAGAAAAATATTACTCGATATTGTAAAACAAATAATTACTTGGGAAAACCCTACTTAATAAGTTGATACTCAGTATAAATTTTTCTTCATTCTATAATTTTGTAATCAAAGGAAATTTGTGTAGTCAAAAGGAATGCTTTGTTAATATACATTGATTATTTCAAAAACTTTAACACATCACAGAGCTATTCTAGGTTGTACCTACTATGTTTTAACTGCACATACATAAATATCCCAACCTTTAAGAAAGTGTGACATGACCGATCCTTCGAATATGTTCAGAATTAATTTGACAATTTCTTACATACATATTTTAACAAAAACTATGTTGAAAAATATTCAGAGACTTCTAATTACCAGGGCATCTGAAGTTAAATTTCTGAGGCCAGGAAGTCCTAAAATAAGTTGGAACGAACTGGTTAAAAGATGTTTTCATCACACAGGTGACACTACATGATGTATTAACATACTTCCTCCTCTGAAAAATGTTTAAACTAACTGCTTGCCTTAAAAGCATGAAGAAAAAGCTTCTGCTTCCATTGTGTTTGATGACAGTTTCAGGGACACATACTACTGGTAACATTTTTAACACAGTGATGCTCAGTATGAGTCTAGAATCCTAGTTGCCAAGTTGTCTTTAAGATATAATAGATTGATGACTGCAGGGATATTTGAAAACCTCTTCAGATATTGGGACCACTTGTTCCCACTTCAAATAATTCCAAACACCCAAGTTTGGAACATACAAAGAGTGAGTTGAGGATCCGAAGAAAAGGAATTTCAGTCTGCCTGATAAAGAGTGGAATAATGGGTCATTCAATAATTGGATTGTAAAATATTCTTTATTATGAAGATCACAAGAGACTGAAAAACATTTATTTTGGATTTTAAGGTTTTGCATGACTGAACAGTTTTCAAAAGAAACAAAAAAGTTAAAAAAATGGGCTAGAGATTCATTGATGATTTAATAGTTTTTTTTTCAGCTTTAATTGAGTTTATTGGTATATTTTAGGGATACAGTGCAGTTACATTCATTGTTGGGATCTTGTACCTCTACATGACAAGTCTTGATTCTCATTTTTTCCCCTTACCTCTGCCCTCCCTTAATAGTATTTTTAATGTCAAAATGTAATCTTCTGATCTTTCTTTCATTTTCAATGAGGCAACAGCATAAGGGAAAATGTAAGAAACTTGAAAATATTATCTTTGTATCTTTGGCAATCACACTGAACATTACGCTTACATTTGTTGGCTGATCCCTACGAAAATAGTATATAGGTGAAAATACTGAATCAAAGTTTAGTTAGTAAATATAAAGTTAAACACTATAGTAAGAGTCTTGCCTTTGGTTCAGAAGTTCTTTTCACATCATGTTCAACTATGCTGGATTCAAAAATAGCCTTTTTGGTTTACATATCAGTTAAATTCATGAATTTTTAGTGGGTGTTTCTGACATGCACAAGGGAAGGCAGCAGAATATCATAAATATTAGCCCCCCCCTCCCAACAGCATGCTCTGTGCTCTCTAAGATGGTTTATTTGATGGTTCATGTACATTTATAATTAAATCATTTCATCAACTAAAAATGCATTTCCCAGTGGCAACATGGCTAATAGTCTGAGGCGAAAGTATACCAAACTAAAAAGGGAAAATTTTGTTTCGTTCCTTGTATGACTAAAGTCTGTCTCAACCATCAAATTTGTAACTGTTAAGCATGCTTTAATTTGCAGCAGAATTCGCTCATTATATTAATCCATTGAATTGGTTGTTATGTTTGAATTCTGTGCTCACACAAAGAAAGTTATTTTTTAGAAAGACATATCAGAAGACGCTTTTGATTTGGGGATGTTGTTCTAGGTCTGTTTTGTTATTAATAATCCCCCTACACATCATGTGTGATCAGGAGACACCTCCACTGTGTCTGCTGTGCAGGATCAGGATGCGGTAGGATGAAAAACTGTTTCAAAAGGGGAGCTTACTAAAGGCTGTTTCTTTTGTGGGTGAACTGGAAACAGTATAAATCCTACTGTCCAAGTGGGGCTATTCGTTAAACATAGAATCATCTAAATTATTTCACCTTATTTGTTTGTCTATTATTCACTTGTTTATGAATTCTTAGGGTCAGGGCCATGCTTTCTACTAGGCATTACCTTTGATGGTACAGTAGGAAATGAGCTGTAGGCCCGGTGCTCATGGACCTCCAGTTTAAGAGGGAAGAGCGATGTTGAACAAGTAACTGAAATTTAAAAATCCCTTTGGCAACATATATACTAAAATAGAAATGACACAGAAGATTAGCCTGGCCTCTGTGCAAGGAAGATGCTCAAATTTTTGAAGTATTCAAAATTTTTGAGTTATTTGTAGGAAAATGGATGGATCTTGAGACTATAATACTTAGTGAAATAAATCAGACATAGAAAGTTATATATCACATGGTTTCTGTAATATGAAAGACTTCAAATATAAATAATTTAAAGAGCAAAATGAAACATGTTAGGAAAGAGGGGAGGACCATCTGTGGAGATGGGAGAGGGATTTGGAGGGGAAGGGAGAGGAGAGGTTGGGGGTCATAACATGATCTGGATGCAGTATGTGTATGTGTTCATCCCCTAAGATGAATGTCATCGCTGTGTGTCACAACCCTATATTAATAAAACAAGCTTAAAAGGAACATTTAGTTACAAATCAAAGAAGATACAAAATTCTTGTAGTTAGAGCTGACATTCTATTGATTTTAGTTGCCTACCATCCTAGCTCACACTTCCTCTGGTTGGTCAAGGGCCAGGTTATAAGTTGTTAAATATTTTTAGTCTTAATCTTGTTTGCATCATGGTGATAGGGCTGTCTCTACTTGGAAACTATATATTAAAGTAAGAAAATTTGTTGACATAGAATGAATAATATCTGTCAGAAGAACCAGAAGAGTAGAGCAAATGTCCCCACCTGTGTAGAAAATTAAACAATGACTGTAGCATGAATCAGGGGACCATGATTCATCCAGTGTTTAATCCTGTCCAACCCAATGAATGATGTGTATCCATCTGATGAAAGGTTTGATCTTATCAATGGCATAAGAGCTCTGAATCAGCTGCTATAGTTTTGATGGTCCAGAACGGTAACTAGATGTATATTGCTCTAGAGCTTTTCTTAGACTTCCCTTTTATTATACTCTCTATTTCTCCACATTCAATATGATAGCAGTCAACTCTTCTCAGAAAGAATCTTTTTCTAAGAAGGCTATGTCTTAGTATTGATGCAAAAATTTTTAAATTTGACTCTCTTAAAGAACAATCAGATTTTTTAGTTCCCAAGGCACTCCTCAGCATAGTTACCTAGGACTGACGAGGGTTTTTACTTGGACAAAGTAGATGAATACTCATGTTTTTTCTGGCCAACAGATTTAAAACCTAAACATAAAGGTTTATTTTTCATAAATATGTTTTGAATTTGACCTTCACAGGGAACATTCAAAGTTTTGTAATCAGTGAGGTTTCAGGTACCTCTTTACAGAGAGCTACTGTGATTATGTTTTTGTGGTTGGATTTTTCTGAGCCCATTAGCTACATGGTAATGGAGAGGTGGAATTAAGGTTTTGAAAATCATCACACCACCCGCTTACCAGAAATTCAATAAAAAACAAACATGAGTGCTATGCTAGGTTTATGTTCTGGTAGAGTACATTTTTAAATTGGTGCTTGTTAAGCACCTCCAGAGGATACTTCAAAAAGAATATGAATAATTCAATTTTGATGTATTGCACCTTTTTATAATTATACTCAGTATCAAATGTTTCCAACAATGAATGTTATTATATTTATACCTTAAATGTACCAATAAAACTAATTTTAAAAAGAGCAAATATAGGAAGCAAAATTTAAATACACACATGAAATAGATAATTTTTCCAGAGAGACCAATATATGTTTAAATTAGTGAAATAAAGTAGATGAGTATTTTCCTGAATCCTGTTAGTATGTGTTTGAATTAATGAAGATAGGGTAGCAGGAAGATGCTGTTTTGTAATTTCCTACATTACTTAATGGTACCCCTCCTCATTTGTTCCCAATGTCATTTAAAAACTTTCAATGTGAATACAAAGTGCACTTCAGTAACTGATTTCTTTTATATGCTTCAAAAATAAATACTCATGCCTCATGAGAAAAGAAATATTTGAACATGGAGTTTCCTTTGGAGACATTAAGACTTCATAGGAAAAAAGAACTGTTTTCCTAAAAATTTCTTTAAATTCTCATGGGAGTATAGGAAATTTTGTTTATTAGTTGTTTGCTTTGATTTTTAATCTACCATGAATTAATGAATTATCACTTGCTTACATTAGAAAGTTCTGCATTTCCAAATTTCTTACAAAGACATCTGGTATCTAAATTAGTAATCTCTGACCCAGGAATTGATAGGGATTTGATTAAAACAGAGTTATTGCTTATTTTGAATACAGGGAAGGTTTTCTTGGCCTGATGCAAAAATCTGTACCACTGGGCCTAAAGAAGCTTCCAAAATGAAGGTAGCTAAACTTTGGCTAAAATTATAATATTATTTCACTTTATATCATTAAATCTGAGATATAAAATAAGTGACCCACCCAGAAGGTAGTGAATAGAACTGGAATCTACATCTTCTAGCTTTCACTTCAGCTTTTTGTTCCACTACATCACTGAAGTTTGAGTAGAGAGTTCTTTGTGGAGCATCCTTCACGTTGATTGCTTAAGTCAAGCATGACAATGCAATAACCAGATGTTGCATGCCAAGTTTCTGGTATGGTGGAATCTGTGATGAAATTAGAATACAGGAGGTTTATCAGAGACTCATCCTGGACCCACACCTGTGGGGTAGTGAAGGAAAGATAGATCAAGCAAATTAATCAGTTGGGCTGTGACACAGACACATTGAGCTTGACCTTTTCCAGCAGCTGTGGGGCTGGAATGCGCTGCCAGTTGCCTGTGAGCTTTGAGTCAGTCAGGGAGTGGAGACTGTCCTTGGAAAGGGTATAACTCTGGATGAGGTATCTCTGAAGGTGACAGCAGTCTTTTGGAGGAAGACCCAGCAGTGAACTATCACTGGCTGAGTCTCAGCAGCTGAGAGAGTACGCAAAGCATTGCAGGGTGATCTGGCTAGTGCTCCACTGCATACATTGACTACACTGTTTCAGCTATTACATAAGCCACTCTGTGTAGGGCCTCACTAACTCATAAAGTAACCACAACAAAGGAGGTGTTGTCCCTTTTTTTCTAAGGAACAAGGGTTTAGAAAGATTGAGTAATTTGCTCAAGATCACATATAAGTGGCTAGTCTGGATGATTCAAAATCTCTTGATCTCTTGATAAATCTGCTTTTTTGGGGGAGGAGATCCACCTCGGGCCCTTGCACTTGTGAGACAGGCTGTAGAACCTCTGAGCTAAATCCCCAGCCCTAAATCTCCTTCTTAAAGTAAGAGAGATCGTAAGTTTTCTGAAGAAAACTTGAGCTATGTTATCTCTAATTATTTTGTTATTAAATTTAGTCATACTTTTTCATAGAGGGCTTTATGTATTTTCTTTACTAATATCTACTAGTATTACATTAAAATAAAATAATAAAATTTGAAGACTGAATTTATTCTTATTATTAATACTGTGACCACCAATACTTCTACCACTAGAGATAAGTTTGACTTATAAGTGTTGACTAAACCACATTAGATGTGATTCCTGACTTGATGGATGAGATCACAGAAACAAAAGGATTTATGAAAATGTTATATAATCTCTGATTTCTAATCAGTAAAATGATAACATCACCTTCTTTGTCATGTGGTTATCATTTAATTTGCCTGTGGAAAGGTAATGGCTTAATACACTTTAGACACACTAAAACTTATTTTCTGTGTTTAAATTCAGTGTAAATGTAGAAATATTAGAGACTACTTATGTCAGTGAACACTGAGAGACAGAAACAATTCTCATCTTCATTCTAATTAGCAATGTCCTTTTGTTCAAGTCAATTGGTGTCTCTTCGTGTTGGTCTCTACATGTGTAAAACGAGAAGTGTACGGTAGATGAAATAAGTTTGACCAGCAGTGATATAATATCCTACTAAATGTTATCACTGATAGATGTCCAGATGGTTCAAGAAGAAATGCATAAAGTGAACAACTGACCAGAAGGACAATGGCCCTCCTGTGCTGGGAGGGTGAGAGGACCACAGCCATGGTGGTCCGTCTTCTCCATAGGGGATCCTTCTCGAACCCTTTGATACGGGTCATGTGTGCCTTACGGACAACATGTGATGAATGAGCTGGAGTGAGCCAGACACACTACATGGAATCGAATAGAATGCCATCTGAGAGTGGAATTCAGCTAAACTTTTATCATGACCAGCAGGAGGAATGAGTAACCAAAATTGATCTTTTATTTTTACCAAGTCAAAATCTTCATTATTTAAAAAATTACCAAGTATATGTTGATGTATATATTTTGAACTTCAGAATTTTTCCTTAGCTTCTGTATCTGAATGGTTGATATGTACCATGTATCATGGCAACACTAGATATTTATAAGTATACCAAACCGACATACAGCCTCACTGTAGAGAAACTATACGCTTAGAAAGCAAACACGATACATCATATGCATGTAAAAGTTCACCCCTTTTTTCTTTTAAAAGTCTGTCTTATTTTTTCAATTTGTGATATTTAATCAAGAAAAATATCTGACAAGGAACACAAGCACATAAAATTGGGTGAAACGTGCCAAGGAAAATAGTCTTAAATTTTAGAGGGTGGACCTCAAGAAATTCAGATCTCCTCTACCTCTCACCCAAATCCAAATAACCCCAAGCCTTTCTGTATGCCAGATGAAGGAAAGTCTGTAATTTTGTGTACTGGTGTTACGCTTTGCCGCAGTATGAACTCATGATTAAGTGCATCATCGTAGAGATACTACTCACTATTTGTTTTTTCTTCCCTCTACCTCCATTTTAATTGGATACAACCCAAAGTATCAAAGAGGAACCAGGCAACAAATGATTCACAGCTGAGATGTGTCCAAAACAGGTTTTGTTTTACTTCTCCGTATTTTTTGCCACCAAGTACTGATGCGGAGGAAATGTCAGCTAGGTGCAAGTCTGTTTGGGTCAAGTGCACCGCACGTATGTCCGCTAGCACAGTAGTAGAAGCCTAGCTCGTGTGTTGATCCTTGTCTGTGTCCAGCTATGGCCTCGCCCGTCCCCCCAGTCAGATGCCTCTGTCGCCCATCCAAGAACGCTCCAATAACCAATCCTGTTAAGCCAAATGTGGTGCTCCTCCTTTACCACTCCCTCTTTCAAAACTTTATAATTGCTGGCTGAATTTATTAAA